CATTATAACATGATCTAAAACTCAAAAAAGTTTATTTTACATAATACTGCCCTTTAAATTCAAAACAGTTGATACTAATCAATAATATATTTTGTGTGTTAACTTGGGAGCTGTTGCTATATATATTAGCCTGTGGACAAAAGTTAATAAAAGAAAAATCCTGGTCCAAATCCAGTGGTGGGCACATCTCTGATAATCCACTAACAGTTAATAGCAAAATAAACTTTTGTTTAGTAGAATGACATTTCCACTTACTTGAAACCAGTAGAGGAACAATTAACATCTTCTAAATTTAGTTCTGCTTAACTTACCAACTAACCAACTTTTAAAAACTGTTACGGCCAGAGGTCTTTCTTCTATGTTTATACTAAAGCATGGAATGACATTCCTCAAAACATAAAGTCCATTTCAAAACTACAGCCCTTTGAGAAGAATCTTGTCTGCCATCTGCTGGACACTTTTTGTTGTGYTCATWTTTAGATGTCCTRTTTTGCAAATGCTGCCTTCGTGAAATTTGGTATGCTTGTTTGTCTTTGTGTCTATGGTGTATAATGATGTGATTGTGATGCTGTATTTCTGAGTGTTTTATGTGCTGCAGAACAGGAACCTGCTGTAAAACAGCAACTTTGCTGAGTCAGGCTTGATTTTTAGTAATCTTTTCCTGTTAAATCAATAAATCAAATCAAATCAATCAAATTCACAGTGGTTTGTAGAAAGCACTGGCTGAGTGTGAATAAGGATTGGTGAATAAGAAATGCATTATAAAGTGTTTTGCAAAAACATTGTAATTAAAAGGTACACTATATATGTGAATTATTTATCATCAACACTTGCTATTTGCACTAGCAAAAACTCATAAAACTGTGTATAAACAACAGTACACTGCAAACCTAGCAGCTATTCATGGATTTAGAAATTTTTGCATTGGCTTGAATTGCCACAGCCTGGTTAAAACCAGACYCTGTCCTTCACTTTGCTTCATACTAGGGTCTGGACTTGTTGCTATAGAGAAGCGATTYTTGCAGGAGGYTTGACCTCTGGTGAAGCATGTGTGTGTTGTCGCTGTGAAGGAGGCTAAGCTAAGARGCTAACCGGAAATCGCATGTGCTGTAAACAACCCTACTATGAGGAGGAAAAAAACGAGCCGAACAAGACAACTGTAAATGAGAGCTGCTGCTTTGTCAGACATTTTTTTTAATTTGGAAGCCTTATCAACACGGACCGGCCTCATTCACTTCCTCCACTTCCTTATGCTAACTAACTAGCAGACACTGTGMAGAAAGTCGACGTCATTCAAAACACCGCCTTCTGTTTGCTGATTGGCCCAGGTAAAATAAACTACAAGCAGACACTGTGCARAAAATCGACGTTCTGTTCTTTGATTGACCCGGCTAAAAATCTGCCAGCAAAATCCTTGTTAATGGGAGAAGTCCCGGACGGAGCAGTGAAGGGAAACTAGAATTGAGTGGAGCTGCGYARGAAGGCAAGGGCCAGGCTAGAATTGCCATGAAGTTTAGTTTAACTTAATAGCAGTCCATTTGACCTGGGGCAGTGTCACACTTTTTGCAAGGGGTGGTACAGGGGTGGCCAAGGTGTTTAGAGGGGCACATACAAACACACAAAAGCTCTCCATATTTGAAAATTCAATATGGTAGCCACAACAAGCCTTAAAATGCAATGGTTCTGTCATTTTAAGACTTATTGAGCTTAAATTTGGAGTAGCAAATAATTGTCACATGCAAATTACCGATGCTTATCCCAAATTAAGCCATCCAACAACATTGATTTTAAAAAAGGCCCATGTTTTGCCATTTCTAAACATAATCAGCTGAAAATATATATATAGTACAGTAGTATCAGAGTTCARTATTAACCAAACTCTAAATGCAAATACAAAATCTAAGGTCCCCWCACACACACTAGTCAGTTGTTTGGGGGTGGCACTTGCCACCCCGACCACCCCTCTAGCTCCACTGCTGCATTTGACCTGTTTGGATGTAGCCACTAGTTCATCTAACTCTATTTCTCCAGACTGTGGTTGTTCAAAGAGCCTAGCTACAATGAGTACCATATTAAATCTTTATAACCTTTCCAGAAAACCACACTTCAAAAGACCTGAACTACTGCTTTAAACTGTCTGAGACTTTGTGTGCTATCATTCATTGTTGCTTCTGAGTAAGCCAAGGGGACTTGTGGGGCTGTCAGATCATCACTGCCATCATTGTTGCTTCTATATCTTAGAAGAGTCGAAATCTCCCACACAAAACAATGTGACAAGCTTCACTCATCATCACCCAAGAATACTTAACTGTCTTTTAAATGCACATACAGTGGGAGGAGAAGATGCTTTAGGGCTACATACAGTACATTAGTAATCAAAAGTTTGGTGAATCACTGTAATCTTGGTTTGAATCTCTTCTTGTGAAGGATTAAGTGGAAAATCAAAGAACACAATGCAATATAACTGAAAAGAGCTGATCGGGAGCTGAGATTGTAGCTATATATCCGAAGGAACAGAGATAGAGAGACAGAGAGGAAGGGAATGGGATCTGCTTCTTGCTCCGACTGTTCCCCTCAAGGCAGCGTAAGGATAAATCTTCTAAGGGATTATCCCAGCTACACAATGTTCTCTGTTCTGCCCATTGTATGCCTCTTTAAGCACAACTGATAAATTAGTTATTTATATTGTGAATGGATCAAAGTCAGACACTGGATTTTCTTTTGATTCGTCTGCTTTGGGAAGCATTACAAATAATCATCTGCGTGTGTACTTCACACGCCCGATTCAATTGCAAAGATATTTGTGAGGAAGGATTACAAACTGGAGTGAGGAGTTGTTGGCAAGCATAAAGTTTAGCCCTTTTTTCAAACTTAGGGCTACTTTGCAGATATGATTTCTCAAGCCTGAATATGTCAACCGAGCCGGCAGGAATTACACAATACCCATGCAGCTGAACTATCCATTTCTGTTCTGCTTCCCTAATTTCACTTTGCCTGTCAGCTCAATGGGGGCCCAAATCAGTTTTTAATGACTCACACATGGGATCAGATATCTTTGTGGGATCCCTTCTGCATTTAATTTTAGGTAAACTAATAGCTTCATTTATTTGCAATCAGAAAAAAAATAATATCCTGCTTGAAAAAGAGTATCATCCGTCCCTCCTTCTACTGGCAGCTCACTCTTCAATAGTTCATGAATTTTAATTCATCCTGGTGGTTAGGCCAATCCTCCAGTTGTATAAGGCGACAGAGAATTTTAGTCAAATTGAATTACGCTCCATGTTTCGCTGCTCTCACCCTTGCTGTCCCCAATTTTCCGTCTCCTCCACCGGTTTCTTTTCTTTACTCTTTCTTCGTTGACTTAATTTACCCATCCCTTTAAAACATCCTTATTTTCTTCATTGACTGCCTGAAGACAAGCAGTAAGTCGTATGGCTGTGTCTTAACTCTGCTTGCCCCTAGCACATGTAAATGACTTTGGCACTTGATGTTTGAAGAGAAACAAAATGAAGAGAGAGAGAAAAAAATCCCTAAGTGCAAAATCAAACAGATAAGAGGCAGGAATCTTCACTCTGCTGGGGAACGTGTGTCTTGACATGYACTGCCTTTTATGTTTCCCTTTAACATAGTCAAGGACAGTTAGTTTTGGAGGCATTTAAACCTTGAATATTAAAGATTCATTTATGAGCTCTCACTTTTTAGTACCTGAATGTATATATTTTTGAGAACCCTAATRGAAGGCATTCTTACTAAAGCAATCTGATGTGTACAGGTAGACTCCCGTGTTATCACCCAGCTCCATGTGCGTGGCCCTGCACTCTGGAAAAAAACCTACAAAGTAATCATTCATATTTAAGCAACCAGTCACTGTCATTCATTCATATAAATAAATATATATAGCTCAAGGAAAGAAAATGCACATCAGAGAATCAGCTGCACCGTGCTGTCGAGGTGACCCACATTACACTGAGCCATCTCTATGACCTCTGAGGTGTTATCTTCAAACGACAACCATGGCAGCACAACCCCCCCCCACCCTCCTATTTGCCATAGATGCCAGAAAACATCTGACTTAGCAAAGATTCACTCCGACTGCCTCTGCGGCGTCACCACTTCAAGGTCAAGCACTGTCTTGAGTAAATGGAAGATAATGATTTTTAAACAAATTACAAGATTAAGTTATCAAAATAGTTCCAGTCAATTATTTCCAGGGTTAAACAGTCATTACGGATAAAAATGGACTCAAAGCTTGGTCTGTCTAAGGGTGTGGACAGCAAAAAACCAAGATTTCGAAAGAGTACTGCAAACAAAGGAGGGTAAATTTAGTAGAAGACTGTGTTAAATCTGGAGTCACGTCAAGATAAAGATTTATTTTGTCTCTAAGGTTGAAAGGTCAGCATTTTTGTCCCGTGATCCCTCTTAARAATCTGTTCTTAACTTGTGGTGTGAATCACTTTGTCCTTCTCTGACCTGGATCGTCAAGTGTAAACTCATTAGAAAGAGAACACCAGATGACAAATACCCAAGGATCATGCTGAGCATTCATCTGCCACATTTATCTGAGTGACAAAGCATTTCCCTCTGGTAGAAAGGGTCATCTTACAGGGTTACCAATAGGTGTGCATCAGACAAAACTCAGAATCATCTACCTTGAATTTATTGATGATGTCCACCATCTATTTTGGTTGAGAGAGAGAGAGAGAGAGAGAGAGAGGAAGAAAAAAAGTCCATTAACAAACACATCCATTCACTGTCTAACACAGGGCATTAATTGACTCTGTCTGAAAGAAGACACTGGCCTCCATTTCTTCGTTTATTTAAGCCCAGAGACAAGCAGTTGTACATCAACAAGTGGATAGAGCTCCATACCTCAACCAGAACGACTGGACACCCCTGGCAATCTCTTTGTTGTGTCTAAAAATAGAGGGTCCCAGGCGGTCTCTCTCAGAAAAAAAAGGCAGAGGCACACTTCATTATTTCATTATATCCCCCAATCCTGATTTACATACACACCAGAGGAGGAGAAATTTTTATCTGAGCATCAGGGGCTGCTCACAGAAGCTGTGTACTGATCCCCAACAGAGTCGCGCAAACACAAAAAAAAAAAAAAAAAACAAGCCTGAAACTCACTGGAATGCCACCCTCAAGAGGCAGACATGATCTCATGTTATCCCTGTTTTCCCTCAAGCATTAAGACATGTATGCATCATGTCACTGAGATTTTGGACTGTGAAGCTCAGCCTCTTCAGTCACAGTAATAAATAATGCATCAAGGAGCTAAATGGAACTTAATTCGAGACAAAGCCAGTGTTCGATGTTGCATCATTTGTTCTACTGMATCGCCTGACAGATAGGTATAAAGCACATAGTAAGGTATTTGAATGGATTTTCTCTCTACATTGCAGATGCTCACTACATTGTGCACCTCTATTGATACATGCMTTTGAACTATTCGTGACCTTTTTCTTTTTTTTTGTGCACTCAGCATTCTCAGCTCATACATACATCGCAATTTTGGATACATGAGCAGCAGACTGTGCACTGTTCATTGATTACCTTCAATACCATACAGTTGTCCGGTCTAAAACAAATACTGAAGTGTCTCTTGTGTTTAAAGAGCACTTAACTGGCTCTTTGTTTTGAACTGGTAATCCATAAACAAAAGATAACCTTTAAATAAAAAAAGATAAAAACAATAAAAAGAATGGCTTTTTATTAAATTGAGCTTTGTTGGTGACTACAAGCTAAAAAGCTTATGCCACTGGATAACAAATGAGAGAAATCTGTGTTATGTTTCTGTGGTATATAGGTGCATTTAATCATCTTGACACTTTGCCTAAACATGTTATAAATGCTTAGTGTTTGCAATGAGGAGGATTCCTTTGAAAAACTTCCTCAGATTTTGCAAACATGGGCTGATGGGAGTTGCTAAAGGGTTGCTGATAGTCAGTGGTGGCCGTGGTGGTGGCTCCGGTCAAACAAATGTGGTGTGTCTGGGTGACCTTAATCACTTCCAGGTTCATCCAGACTCGGATTTCACTTGTGGGCCTTATTTCAGGTCACTGTCTCAAAGTCAAACTAGGGCACAGTCATTATCTGAGGGAGCATAACGCAATCATCCACACAATACAATAAGGTCGACACAATTCACTGAAGTCAGTGAAGTGTTGTCTATTACCTCTGGGTTTAAAAACATGTGCGCTTCATCCAGCGGCACCTGTCTATATGGTGACACACAGGTTATAATATACAGTATATGTACAATTCTCATGACAGTTTCTTTTCTTTTTTGTAGAAAATGTGTATTAAAGTTTTGTACACAGAAAGGCAGAAAAAACGTCTGATGAAGACTAAGAAATGTCACAATAAAGGAGGGTAAATGTTTTGAACCAAAGACTATGAAAGCTGCTCAACTCTTGCTTGGTTTTGTTAGCAAGATAAATATCGGAAGCTGTGTGATGTTATTCCACTGAATTTAGGATTTCCATTAAWTTATTTCTAGTTTTTTGATACTTATAAATAGATATTGCATTTATGTGTGTATAATGTGATCAAGTACGCAATCCTCATTTTTTGAGCTCAAAAAAGCAATAAAAATCTAATCCTTGCTATTGTTACTTCATAAGACTTCAGGATGTTTAGGCCTTTGCAGTGTACCCTTTGGTCAGGAAACAGATTATTTGGGGGAGGGGGGGGGCACAGTTACAGACACACCTGTGGAGCAAAGGCTGCCAAGGAGCAGCACAAGCTTCATGTCACTAAAAATTGTCCGGTCTGTTAAATTACCAAGATTTGAAGAGCTGCTCATCTGGTCCTACTGACCACACAAATGTGCAACTGACATTCATGTCTTTAATCTCCTTGCTGAGGTTAACAAAATATATATTTTTTTCATCTGATTAAAATAACAACTACTGTTGTTGTTTATTTGCTTAGCTATGTGCGACATAATCTACAGTGAGAGGACAGAGGGGGAAATTATAATGCTTTTTATCACAATATTTCAGTTATATATGAGACAATATTAAAACTTATTGTGGTAGTACATCAGAAAAAAAATCTGTCAAAATTTAATCTTGTGTATAATACGATTACGGTTTTTAGGGTTACATTTTTTGCATTATATACAAATAATGTATGTACAGCAGGTAAAATAAGTATTGAACATGTCACCATTTTTCTCAGTAAATATATTACTAG